TATATAAGAGAATCATCAATCAAAACGTGGTCATTTTGATCGAAATCTCCTGTTTCTTTTTTTTTTCTTCCTTTTATTTTCATTTTTTATTTTTCTTTAATACTTTTTTCTTTTGCTCCCGAATTTTTATATATTTAATTTGTCCCTATGCAAAATATTTTTTGGGTAAGTCTGTTGCGATATTTTATTCTTAATATTTTAATTTTGTTAGATGCGGATTTTTTTTTTTTTTTTTGGCTGAATTGTTAGACGCGATTTGTTCAGGATATAATTTAAGCTCAACTAATATCCATGACAAAGACCAAACGGCCCCATTTCTACATTTTATGAATTTTCTTTTTAACTTATAATCATATTTCTATTGACCATACTCAAATTAGAAAAAGATTTATGGATGTTGGCCATTTATGCAAGTACTCAACAAAATCTTATTGGTAGTGGACGAATTTTTATACCTTTTGTTTTATATTAATCTAAAAAGTATACCTTTAATTTTTGATCTCATTAAATTTATACTTTCATATTAGGTTTATTACACAAATTCATACTTTTTTAAGTCAACATTCAATTTTGACCTGGAAATACCCAAAATAGCCTCAAATAAAAAAAAATAAGAAAATTAGAAAAACTCTAATTTTTTTTTTTTTTTTTTAAAAAAAAACCTAAAAAACTTGAAACGTCAAGAAAACCTAACCCTTAATTATCTCATCCAACTCTACTGCCATCAACCCTACTCCCACTCCCCGCCTTAGCTCGCCGTCATTGTCACCCACCACAGTGAACCCAAGACTTTAACCCCCAATCTGCGACGGACACCAACGGGCCTAGATGCGCGATGACGCGTCCATCCTCCCTCACCCGAATCTCTCAAGCCCCTGTCCACTCCACCTGAAACTTGCATTTGAGTTCCAAGATCAGAAAATGGAGGAGTTGAAAGAAACGACTTTAGGGGGTTCTAAGTAAAGATGGGGATTCTAATAAAGCACTCGTTGAGGTTGAGGTGGTTGCTGTGTGGAAGAGCCAGATTGGCAATTTGGTTTGTTGCATGGAAGAACTCAGACGCCTTGTTGACTTGTTCAGAATCATAGTTCATATGGTTCAAAAACAAAGTAGGTAACTTTAGGTACTTGGATGTGTTTTCTGTTGTTGTTTAACTCTGTAATTCGAATTCTTTCTTCCTTGTAGGTGATGACGTTATTGATTGCACGATAAATATGGAAGTGTCCTTTTGATGTTTTGGATTTTGTTGTTAAATGTTATGGGGAATTTGTTGGGTTTAGAACTATGGTCTTTTGATATGTTGGTTGAGAAGTATACGAGATGGCTTTGCTTGTTGAGGTTGGGATGTTGTGCGTGGAGATGGTCGGCGCTGAGTAGATGGATGCGGTGGGTAAAGGCGAGAGGTATGAATTTGGGGCGGGGGAAATCCCTTTTCAGTTCTATGCGTTTTTTTTTTTTTTCTTATTTTTAGAGTTTACTATTTTAATGGTATTTTGGGTATTTTTAGGTCAAAATTAAATGTTGACTTAAAAAATATGAATTTGTGTAATAAACCTAATATGAAGATATATATTTGATGAGATTGAAAATTGAATGTATACTTTTTGAATTAACTTAAAATAGAGGGTATAAAAAGGTAAATAACCCTTATTTTTTTAAAAAATATGCACTTTTTTTTTTTTTTTCAAACTACTCTTAAGAGACTTTTTATATATTGCTTTCTTTATATGTACCTCCTAATTAAAATTTTATCTAAATTTTTTCCGCTTGTATACTCTGTTTGACTATATATAAATTAATATCAATGAAAACAAACATTTTGATTATAACGTGCATTTCCATTTGTTTGTGCTTTTTTTAGTTTCTTTTCTAATTTGCCATGTTGAAATATACTTTCCCAAGTGTGCTCTTACTTAAAAAAAAATTCCTTGTGGTTTTCTTAAATAATATGTTTTTCAATATGACACTAATGAAATTTTTTTCTTTCTAATTAATTGCCTTGCTGAAATAATTTATTTTTAAATATGTCCTTATTTAAACTTTTTTTTTTCTTGTAACCTTATCAAATCTGATTTATTAGGGTGTGGAGATATGAATTATACCTATAACCACCACTATTTTTTCAAAATGCTCTTCACTTATTATTATTATTTTTTGTTTTTTACTAAACCAAATACTCAAGAGAATTTTTACATTCATGTATTTAAAGATTAAATAAATTAAATAAGCATGTGCGTACCACATTTTAAAAGGATAACCTGTACCCAAAGACTTAGAAAGATCAAGAAAACGAAAAAAGGATCGATGTTGTGCCAAAATGTTATTAAGTGGATAACCTGTTAAAAAAAAAAGAAAAGAAAAAAAGGAAAAAGAAAGGCAAGGTATATATGCCTTTGACATGCGTACCTGCAACAAGGTTGTGAAAGGTTGGCTGGGGCCAGATCTGCCTACGTTCCTGATATATATTCCTTACTTTTACATATATCTATGTATTCCTTTATCTTGTTGCAAGAGAAAAGAAGAATTACGATAGAAAAAAATTCTTTATTTGGTTTAATCAGTAATCAGAGATCCTCTAAACCTTCAAATACCTGCCGAATCTCTGACGCTAATTCCCATCCTTGATATCATAACCTCAAATCTCAAAGACTTTGGAAAAGGAGCAAACTAGACATCGAACGATACAGCAATATATTTTGGGATCAGCCATGGGTGTTCTTGGGGCGATCGCTAAACATTTGGATGCTTTAATCGGGTATTTGCATATTAAAAATCCTTCTACATGTACACAAACATTTATGTCGAATTTAAATGTTAGATTTATTAACCATCATGTGTTATGAGACATAACAAAATCCTATATATATATATATATATTGTGTTGATCAATCTCCGACAACTTTATGGTTTTGTTTACAGGCCAGGAGCAATGCTTGTCTATCCTTTGTAAGTGGCCACTAGTACCATGATCATGATTAATGAATTACAAAAGAAAATAATAAATATTTGTTTCTTACTATATATATCTATATATATAATATGAATAAATGAATAAGCAGATATGCATCAATTCGAGCAATCGAGAGCCCCTCATCACTAGACGATCAGCAATGGCTAACATATTGGGTCTTATATTCTTTCATTACACTATTTGAGCTTTCTTGTTGGAAGGTCCTCGTTTGGTAATAAGATTTTTTTTTTTTTTGGGATAAAAAATATCATGCGCTATCTAGTAAAACGGTCATAATCATATCTAACATGCAAGTAGTAATACTTTTCAGGGTTCCAATTTGGCCGTACATGAAGCTTTTGTTTTGCATGTGGTTGGTGTTGCCGATTTTCAATGGGGCAGCATATATTTACGGAAATATTGTGAGGAAATATGTAAAGATTGGGGGTTATATGAGCTCCAATTATCCAGAAAGTCAAAGAAAAGTCCTCGAGATGATGAGCCTTGATGCAAGGAAATCTGTTGAACGTTACATCGATAGATATGGACCTGATGCTTTTGATAGAGTCATCAAAGCGGTAATGATAAAACAGAAAAATAATAATAAAAATAATAGTTTCTCCCCATTTTTAATATGTTTTTTATGAGATTTTTACGGTACGATTTGAAGAAAGAATAAATTATTAACGGATTTTTATTTTTCAGGCGATTTTTGTTAGTTAATTAATTTTGATGTGATTTTAACCTAATTCCACTAATCATGTGTGATTCTACAGTAGAAATACCCAAATTCTACATGCTTATGAGAAATTTCGAAAAAAAAATAATAATTCCTTGCACTTATTTTATTTTATTTTTATATTCATGCTTAGTTTGGATTTGATTTTTGCAGGCGGAAAAAGAAGCGAGGAAGCAATGAGCCATTGACAACTGAGAAATCTGTTGATCGGCAAATGGAAAACACGAATGATTAATATTGCTTCCAAGGGAGAAAACGAACTATGCATGCTGCAGAAAATAAATAATACGTGGTAGTCTTGTTGTATAGCTTGTGATCATGACTTGTGAAGATGGAAAACTAAGAGAAAAAAAAAAATTTCTGTGTCCACTAATATTTTAACACAAAATTATCTAGCAATGTTTAAGTTTTATATTGATCAATAACAACTTACTACCCAAAAAAAAAAAAAAAAAAAAAAAGTTGAGAAGTCGTTTCTGAAAGTTTTAAGGATGAAAAACCATGTCCTCGGCACTCATTTGCTGTAAATGCATGTCATTGATTATTTTAAGGACAGCTTTCACAAGCCAATATTTATTGTTTTTTTTTTAAATGCCAATTATCGTTGACTAGACAAAACTTACATTTGTTCATTTTTTACATATACTAGTTAAGTTCACGTCTGACCTCTTTATACAAGTTGGATAATATTGTATATTCTTAAAATACTATAGTTGCATTTAGTTAATAAATGTTTTGAAAACCATAACGAAAACAAAAAATACGAAAACAAAAAATTATGAGAATGATTTTTGTTAAAAAAAAAAGACAATTAAAAAAGTATTTTCTAGGCGATTAAAAAATTTTATTAGGCAATTAAAAAAGTATTTATAAAGACAATATTATAAAAAAGATATTTAAATATTTTCAGCAAACTTATTTTAATAAGGACGAATAAAATATTAAAAAATTATTTTCATTATATAACTATTATCAATAGATCAGAGAAAGGGCACAAAAATACAAAACAGATGATCCAAAAGTTTAAATATATAGTTAACTGTAAGAGGATGAATAGTAAATGCATTGAGCTTTCTTATATGTTATAGATAGAAGAGATAAAATCTTTCTTGGTGTATTCTCTCATTTGCTCGTGTCAGCTCTACTCTTTTTTTTTTTTTTTTTTTTTTCCCTTTTTGTTCTTTTTTGCCAAAAGCTCCTCAACAATAAAGTTATTGATAAATTTTATTTTTCTCTCTAAATTTTAGTTTCTTTGTCACTTTATCCCCTAACTTTAAAAATTAGTGTGCGCACTCTCGAAACTTTGAAACATTATTTACTTGACTCCTTTTATTTATTTGACTAACGGATTTAATGATGCGACAATTATTGTAGGAATAGTTTAATGAATTATTTACATAAATACCCCTTGAAGCATGTATTATATTTTAAAATGCCTCTTGATTTATCAAAACACATCAAAATGTCTTTAATCTTTTGAAAAACATAATAAAATAATAATTTTACTTATGTGGCATGTCATTAAAAATGAATTAGAAATTAAATTTAATTTTGAACAATTAAAAGAGATTAAAGATTGAAAAATATAAATATAAAAATGCTTCACTTCAAAATATTCAAAAATTAAATGAATGAACTATTTTTTTTTTCAAAAATCAAAGCCCAAAAGAAACCCGTTTTTCTAAATTTAAAATCTAGGAGAAAAAAGAAGATGCATGATACAACGACTAGTATCAAACACAATCATCAAGAGAATTCCAATATACATGCAATTATATACAAATAACAGAGATAACTAGTATATAACTGAAAAGTAAATTCATTATAATAACTCAACCAATATTACAAAGCAATTCAAGAATAAAAAACAAGAACATTTGGAAACACGAAAATTTATATATATATCCTAAGAATGTATAGGAATATCTGTATACTGGAAATCCCTCTCGTAAGCTCTTAAACTGCAGGTGGAAGTCATGTAGGAATTGGTGTTGGCCAAGAAGGATGCACGAGAGTAAAAACACCCAAGAGTTCTTGGAACTTTTCATCTTTATAAGGTAGAGCATATTCATCGCCATCTGGGAATTCGCCAACTTTTTCATACTTGTCTTCTCCAATCTTGTACTCACAAATAACATGGTTATTATGGCCACATAATACAAAAATCACATCACCATTATTTGGATGAAAAGAAAGCACCGACATGTTTGTATTTTCCAATGTCTGTTTTATGCTAACCTCATGCATTAAAAGCCATGGTACTTCTTTTTCTGATGCATCATTCAATTCCCAAACTTTTAACACAAAGACGATGTTCATGTCCTTAACATGACTAAGAAACTGCGACAGCCGCAGCCGCCCATCGACCACTCCGAGGCACAGGTTGTCCTTCGAAGCCTGCCATCCGTGGCCAAATCCGCGAGGAAGGTCAATAAAACGGCATCGGTTTGCAACTGTAGTAGTACTAGTGCTAGTCACATTCTTGAACGGATTGATTGCAAGAATTCCTTTTATCTGTTTTCTAACATCCCCTGCCAATAGCCATTGCAGCATTCCGTTATCAGTCGCAACAGCCTGGATGAGCGACGGAGTCCATGGAATTCTGAGATCCAGCGCCGCACTACAAGAAAATGGGCTATTAGCGACGACAAAGTCATTGCAAAAAATATAAAGTCGTCACAAATGAATTTTTAGCGACCACTTGTCGTCGCAAACCTGTCGTTGCAGTTGTATAGTCACAAAAACAATTTTTGCGACAACAGCTTTTCGTCGCAATTATATTTGCGATGACAATCGTCGCAAATAAGTCGCGGCAATTATTTCGTCAGGTACATCGTTAAGATACATGACATTAAGTATTTGCGATGACATTTTTCGAATTAAGTCGTCGCAAAAGACGCAGACTTAGCGAACGTGGCTTATATTTTTTGCGACCACATATGTCGTCGCAAACAATATTTTAATATTTTATTTATTTTTTCTCATTTTAATAATTATATCAAATATAATTCATGATATTAAATATAAATAAAAATTAAATAAAAAGAAATAAATAATAAAAAATATAAATAAAAATTATTATTGTAAAAAGTAATTA